TTAAAAGGACAGTGAACTAAGGGGTTTTGAGCTGTGTTATTGTTCATGACACTTTACTCGTATAGCACTTCTCTTTGCCCAGTTAGAAATGATGGTAAATTTTTAGGGTTTCCATCAGGTTTGTCAAAAGTATCTGGCCGCCATTCGGGGGTGCTGAATGGTTCTTTTAAAAGCCATAGAATATTCATCAAATTTCACGGGTCTCACAGTCTTTTTTTTAGCAGTTATGTGCGTCTCTCAGTCTCAGTTTTTTCACAAAGCTATCTCACTTTCTCGATATCTTGCAAGGCTAAGAAAGTCTTAAAGTACCAATTTGTTTGCTTGTTTTCAAGTTTGTTTTTTATAAATGAATGTCTGAACATAATTTTACAACTTGAATGTCTCGAGCTCTCATTTAAAATACTTTGAAGTGTTTGTGTTCGTCTGTGTACCATCGGTCTCGCAATCTCAGAAGTCAAGATGTCTCGGAACAAACTCACATACTACATATACACATATCACATGCGCAGTTATTATTAAAATGTCTTAAATGATATTAATCATTTAAATTAGCCATGTGACAGATGATGGGATATTAATAGCCTGTGTCTGTAGCTACTAGAATTTTCCTTGTTTTTATTTCACGTTATTGCATTACCTCTGGGGATTGCGTAATCTACTCAATAGCACTTAACGTGTCATCATTATGCACAGTGTGCATTTTTTCCACCAGTACTTGTTTGGTGGCTGGCAGTTAAGTTTTCTCCAGTTTCTACTGTGTTTTGCTGGCATTTAACTTGTTCTGAGCATCTGACGTTTTATTCTGAAGAGTTAAATCCTGTTGGACTCGCAGCATACCCACTGACTCACTCACTCACTCACTCACACGCACTTATGTGCACAATGATTGAACTGTCCATTTGAACTGTGGGGGTCGTTATCTGTATCGTCTACTTACAGTGTCCATCTGCCTAAGTTCTGTCCTCAGAATAAATCTAAGGAGGCCAAATGCACACATGTTATGCTAATACTAATACAGGAACCAATTGCTTACATTCAAGGCCATTTATGAAAGAAAGCTGTCAGAGGAAAGGTCTGCCATGGCTCACGACCGACTGCGCCGAGCACTAGAAGAAAATAACTCTGCTGTAGATGCCAATGCCCTTCCCGTTAATGGCAGTTTGTTTGCTAGCAGTGACTGCATCTTACTATACTCCAAGGGGTTTACCTTTGAAACGAATAATGTGTCTTTTGATGTCTTGAATGATACAAAAATGACATATACTGTTTCTTCAGAGTGTCAAAATACTTCTGACAGGTATGTCTGCAATTACTGTACGTTGATATTTTGGGAGGATATACAAATTATGCATAGAACTATTGTTTGAAGAAGAAGTTGTTTATGTTTATGGACTGAAGTGGCTGCAAAGTGCGCCTTCATATGCCGATGTCCAATTTCACCTCTCTGGTTCCTCCGCAATTCAGCCTCTGGCTGCAAGGGAGGAAACTGGCACCAACTATCTATCTATCTATCTCTATCTATCTGTTTTTCCCATGTGAGAGGTGAAGTGTTGTAATGGTTAACACTACTAGCATGTTGCACTCAACGCGAGAGTGCTAGGTTTGAATATGGGTCCTTAAGTCGTGTTCTTGGGCAAGATGCCTGACTTTCTTAATGTACAGAAAACAATGTATGCACCCACCCAGCAGATTTAAAGGGGCTACGCCACACAGCTGTAGGCAATTTTAGCTCCGACCTTGTGATCATAGATGTAGATTATACTTTCATATCACAATAAGGGCTTAAAACTGTGGAAGAACTCAAAAGCACTGTCATGTTTTTGTTTTTGCAACATTTTGACGTCATCTGTGATCAATTAATGATGCAGAACAGATGCACTACAACATGGAATCTATGTGTTAACCTGATTTATCTAATCTAGAGTTAAATTTACTTACCTTAGTGCTTCCATTAGAAGCAAGTATTAGATTCATGTCACTGTTATTGCTTTTCTCTCTTTAGTCGAGTTAATTTTAAGATATTTAATTTTCTTCATCTTCAAACACTCACAAACCCTGCAATGTTGTAACTATTGTTCTCAAACTCATTAATAATGCATCAAGTTTAAACAAAGGAAATCATGACCATGATGGTGTTTGGATATCTGATCTTAATTAGCATAGATTTTTACGATTTCATTTCTCCATTTTCTCCTTANTTAATAATGCATCAAGTTTAAACAAAGGAAATCATGACCATGATGGTGTTTGGATATCTGATCTTAATTAGCATAGATTTTTACGATTTCATTTCTCCATTTTCTCCTTAGTTTTGGTTTTGATTGAGAAGATATATCAAACACTCAAGACAGTGCTTGACCACATTTCCAAACACCTTGAAGTTCATCAAAAATGCCCTGTATTTCCAACTTGAAAAATACTCTGTATTTTCAACTCTCTTCTCGGTGTTTGGAAATGTGGTCAAACATGGTCATTCATGTTTGATACTGTATATTACTTCAATGTGATTATTGTTTCCTTTTTATAGCATTTTAATTAGCTTCAAGGGACCACAGATTAAAAAATTAGACCTCAGGTAAGATTAAAATGGTAAACTTGCTTAACAAGATGTGATTGTAGATGAAGTACAAGGGAAAGAGGGCAATGAACAATGATCGGTGCCCAACCTCAGTGTGTCAAGACCACTAACACTGCATTCACACAGACATGTGCATGTACAGTCGAACCTCAATTATCCAGACTCATTGGGACAAGACGAAATCGAGGGTCCAGATAATCGAAAATATGAATATTAACTAGTAGTAATCAGAGATTATGAGAGTGCCCTCACTTTAAGATATATACCTTAAATAAATGATTTCACTAGCTGACTTTCAACCTTTGTCTACTGCTAAAATCAACATTTTTCAGCCACAACCAAGATTTTACAGTCAGATAAGCATAGTGTCAAAGTCCATGCTAGGGAAGAGGTCACAATTTGTTGATACGTTCCATGACACCGTCAGTTACTGTAGACTCACAAATTTCATAGAATATTTAAATTATGTACATTATCCTAAGCTGGAAGCACAAATTTAAGCTGTAGCATTTGCAATCAAGTGCTCATTTATTGTAAACAAACTCCGTGCAACTAATTGGAGTATTTCCCCTGATGAATAAAGTAGACTTTCGGATCTTGCCCTCAGAGTACTTTTCCACCAATTCCAAACAATAACATTTCGACTGGATAAAGACTGAGCTATCTGTCACAACTGGAACTAATTAACAAGTACAATCAAAATGTAGCTGTTCCCACGGTTAACATCCCAAATAGACAAGAAACAATTCCCTCAGATTTCGATAAATGTTTCCATCGAAGCGTTTAAGAGGCCCTGCGCCTAAGAAACGACCGATGATTTCCGGCTAAAAAATAAAATCGGCCGATTTTTNTTCTAAAAAAGAATGAGATGCAAACCAGCCACCCCCTTCAGTTCCTGACCCCACCCTACCCTGCCGGGATCTCATATTAACCCCCCTACTCCTAACCCTAATCCTAACCCACCAGATAACTTTTTTAATAACCTCCCCTACTCCTAACCCTAACCTTAACCCTAACCCTCCAGATAATTTTTTTAATATTTATTTTGTACTCACCTAGATTTGAACACCTGATCTCTGACTTTGAAGTCCACCTTAATCTGATCCACTAGGCCAAGCAAGCAATCATTACAAATTTGCTCAAATTTGTTGGTCTAATAAGTTCTTGGTCTTAGACTCCTCCTTTAACTTTGGAACAAATTAAACTGGGTTGAAATCATTCTGACTTGAAGAACAAACTGACCTACAACATTAACATCAGGGTCTTCATGTTAATCTAATGTTACCAAGGAATATTATGTGCATGTATTTTGACTAGAAGTAAAATTAGCATACAGACTGAAAAGAGATCAGATCTTTTCCTTCCATTAATCTTATTGATCTTGTTGCTTCTTTGAATTATTTCTTCAAGTTTTTCCTTCAACGCCAATGATTCAGACGGTGACTGGACCTGTACGGAGGCCAGCTTGGACATTGATGGAGAATTTGGAGGGGAAACAATGGCAAGAAAGTTTTCATACAACTGCAGTGACACACTGGAAGGTCCAACAGAGTATTCGTACAGTTGCATCAATGTAACCTTCAAGACTAATGGTAGTTNTGGTGATAGTTCTAATGCTAGTAGATTTGTACTAAAACCCGATAGAAACACTGTACATGTTTTCTATTTCTTAATTTAGGTTCATCCACATTCTGGCCGTGCAAAAATAGCAAACCAGAGCATGGAAAAAGCTCTTCTTTCACTCAGGAAGGGTTTGCTTTGCAGGCTAGAGTGTTTATCATGTGCTCAGTGCTTCCTCGCTGACAAGAGTTGCCCATTTCTTGCAGGTCCAACCTTTCAATGTCAATAATGGTACCTTTGAGTATGCGTACGATTGTGTGGGTTTCTTTACCATTCCCATCTTTATGGGTCTAATCACAGCTGGGATTCTCATACTCATCCTGTTTACTGGTGTGCTTGCCATGTTCAGCCTGACAACTATGGATAGGTTTGATGATCCTAAAGGACCTGCCATCCACGTCCCAACTGGTTAAACCAGTTAAACAAGAATAAGCCCTCTTGGTGGGCCTGGGGCTAGTGTGTATTACTCTTCAATAGGCCATGTGCGATATAATCAAAATTCTAACATGGCTCTAAGGCTTTCTGGACAAAACTGTAAATTTGGTAAATTCCTTTTGTCCCTCAATTCTCAAAAGAGATTTGGATACAAAGAAAACACCACTAAATGTAGAAGTTTGCCCTGAAAGCCTCGGAGCCATGTTAGAATGTTGATATATTGAACATGGCCTATATGTCAATTAGACTTAATGACTATCACAATGAAAGCATCGCACCTGTGCTACTCGATAATGGTTTTGGTAGATAAATGTAGGTTGTGCTTTGTATAGATGTTGCTGGACCAGTGTGACATTTATTCTGGGAAAATATGGTTAAGTTGTTGCCATTGCTGTAAGTTGTTGTTTTGGCAAGTTCGTGGACCTTGTCTTCAGTGTGGTCTATAAACTTGCCAAAGGATGAGACCCATATTCCTCAATTCAGACCTGATGAGCCAGTTCAACACTGTTCTTTCAATACATGTAGCATCATTTTGCTCGATAGTAATAGCTGACTCTGTTATCTCAACCTGGTATTTTTCAAAACAAATAAAACCAATAAATAATACAATTGAAATCGGTTTTATGTTGTGGCATGTTAATCAAAAGCATTCCCGAGTGGCAATAGATTGGCAGCTTTTTGCAGTGGACTGTTTTGATTTGGGCAACCTATTGCTTTGTTAAATGGACGGTAATTTGGATGTGAAAGGAAAATCATTATTGCTTTGTGAGATGACTGTTAGTATCAGTTTTTTTTGTTGTTGTTTGATACTTTCTGGTCAGAGAGGTGTAATAAATTGAACTTGCATTGTAGTTAAGGCTTTAGGCAGAATGTTGAATGACAAGTGTATGAATAAGGAGGTTGGATAACTAGATTGTAATTTACATTTACTTATTTTTTTTCAACAAAAGCTAGTTTCTTTCCAGTCAATAACTGGACAACTGAGTAATATAGGAATATGTTTGACTGCTTTGAATTCACTACCATTGATGCAATAATCACATACACCTTCATAATGAAGAAATATAAAGTTCAAATAAATTAAATAGGTCAAGAACTGGGGTTTTTGGCATCTCTGAAATGCTCTGATGTTTAGGCTTGTGGTAATACTTGGGCATGTTTAAGACACAAAATCACAAAAAAAAAACACTTAACTGGTAAGAGTCAATGTTTGATACAGTTAACCCAAACAATTATTGAGATCTAACCACCTTCAAGTCAGTGATATTGAAGCTAACCAGAGTGCGATTTAGGCTAACTGTAGTATTTTGTCATTTTACCATTTCGTGTTTTAAACATGCCTGTAATACTCTTGTGACGTTAACACTGATCCCTTTACATTTTTACAATGTATGATCCTTTAAAAGTGGCCGATCCAGAGAAAGGGGGAGGCAGGTGCTTAGGCACTCAGTGTCTGAGGCCAAAAATTATTTCACTACTTTTTCTCTGCAGTCCCTTTCTTTTCAGAATGGAGACCCACCTCATACACAAGTGTACTGATATACCTCTGCTTCACAACAAAGACCACTGAACAGTTCATTCTTTTCCATAAAATAGTGGTGCATGCATAGTGCAGAGGACATGCAAATGGGTGGTAAAATTTTAGAATAAGGGGCTGGGGTTTTACGCCCCTTTTGGGTAGTAAAACAGGACCAGTTTTGTGGTGTATTGTAAGTCTCTCCAACATGTCTTCTATGTGACTTTTTGTAATTTCATTTAAGTTGAGAACTGTGTGTTACACAAAATGTAAAGGAAATAAAAGAATTATTGATTTGAACAGATCAGTAGGTCTTCAAAATTACTTTAAAAAAGATTAATTTCCCCATGTTTTTATTTGATGCCAGCTTCCCTCAAACCTTGCTAACTACTTGGGATTTAGCCTGCGTGGAAGGTGTTCAAAGGAGAGGGAGACCTGCCATGCAGGCTATTTGGGATTTGGTTATTGAAAATATAATGAGATTTGTCAATATACAATGAAGCTCTGCCATAGTAGCCACCTCGTTAATATTACAGATATTACCCATTTTATATTTCCATGTCTTATGATCATGCCAGGAAAGTGAGCTAGAGTTGCCTTTGCTGTGATACAAACCTTAAGCTTGTTACTTTTCCAGGGGTGGATCTAGGGGGAGGGTGTAGGGGTTGTACACCTCTCCCCCCTGAGATGAAGCCTTCTTCATATTTGCTTTTAACATTTGGTTACCTCACCAGTTAGTTATGCCATTTCCTAGTGGTGCACCCTTCCTAAGAAAAATCCTGGATCTGCCCCTGTTTTCAAATGTAAAATTAACTCTAACCTTGCTGTCATGCGGAGGACCGGTTTCAGTTTACATAACTGTAAAATGGCCTAATGTCTTTTGTCCGAAAAAAAGTCAATTAAAAAGTTCATAATTTGAAGACTTTTTGAGCATTCATACTTTAGAAATGGGTAAAATAGTTAAATCATCTTCAAGCATAAGCAGTCCACGGAAAACTATACACATTTACATAACAATATAGAAGAGACCTTTTAAACCACATTCACACCAAATAAACTAGTTTAACTAAATCAGTTTTAGGTTTTTCCAATTGGACGATTAAGCTTTGCAGTCATTTCAAGAAGTCAATCCTAACAGGTTTTTGCCCTGTTAAGTTGTAGGGTTTGCACAACACTAGCAACTAATCTTTGACCTTGTTTAGTTAAACCACTTTTAAACATGTTTAACATGTTGGTGTGAACGGGGTTTCTACCCGAGGAAAACCGCGGGGTCAGCTGAAGACGCCTAGGCACGATGTCGAGGCCAATGTTGTCTCGAGTCCAGACCCTCTCCTAGAGGAGAAATGGCGGCTATCACAGAGGTGGGAAATTTGAACTTTTTCTGTAGTTTTCTCCGTTCTAATCCGGCGAGAAAGTTACTATTATGATCTTCTATGGTTTGAAAGTGTACTGTTTCTTTCTTTTTGAAGCTTCTTTGTAAATTTTTTACAGCCACTTTTCTTTACAGAACGCTCACACTTAGACACACTTTACACACTTTACGTTGATCGATCGCGAGAGAATCAGCTTGCTTGCACATCAAATCGAACAGTTTTTCACTGAATGGGTTCTGACTGAAAGTAATCATTGTATAGTAAAACTTACAGTTGTCCTTTGCTTAATTTCCAGGGCTTAAAGAAGTGCGATGTCTTCGGTGCGTGCTGGAGAAGATTTTGAAAAACAAGGCTATTGCATTCTGAGGCTAAACCCATGTACCATGCGTGGTACATCTTTGCAAGTTATTTCATACATCGATGTGTTTACAAAGAGAAAAACAGATGGCATTATACAGAGGGTTTAACGGTTTTACTTTTACTTTACCCTTCAGGACGGGCAGGTGAGTTTGACAACGATAATTTGCTTAATGCTAGTTTAAATCATCAATCTTTATCATTTTTTAGTTCTTTTGACATGCGTTATCCTATTGGAAGGCTTTATAATTTGGGGGTTTCTGCGATTTCGGGGGGGGAGGGAGAGGAGGAAGCTACTCCCAGAAAAATTGTGTAGGGTACAGTTTTCCTGCCCCAAAATTTGATAATTTTACAATATTTCAGACCTGATCATTTAGCCAATACCCTATAATTTTCAGACCTGCCTTTTAATCAGTTCCCCGGTCCAGACCAGTGTTAAAGGCAATTGTTGGTCTTAATTATAATGATTAAAAAAGTAGCTTCTTCTAAAACCATACTCAGGTTAAGAGCAGAGTGCAAAAACCATGCCTATTTCAGACCCGAAAATGGCTAAAATCTACCACCCTTTTTCAGACCAAAACGGCTAAAGAACGATACCTTTTGGTGCCACACATACCTATAAAGCCAACGTTAGGGAGTATTCCCCAATGCAATCAAATATGTTAACTAAAGTAAACTATAAATGCTTGGGGTGAAACATTACGTAGCTGCTTTCCTATCCAATTGTTTATGGTGTCATAGTTGATTATCTAAAGCAAAAAACAAAAAAACGTTATTAGACGTTGTTCTTGTTGGAACCAATCTCCAGTAGTGAATGTGTGATTAGCTGCTGATATGTTGAACAAAGGATTAAGATGGATGAGTTCTAATCTACTGCGAAGGAGGTAGGGAAGGGGGAGGAGGAGATTGGGTTGTACAGCTAACTCAATACAACAAATGTGATGCTAGTTAAATGTCTGAATGATTTCCTGTTCTAGTTTGAGACCGTCAAATGATTGCATAGCATTAAGTTCATGATTGTTCTAAAACGGACAAATGACCGCTTGTTGGACGTGCGTTCGGAAATGCGTGAACTGTTAGCGATGGAATAAATTGAAACTATCCGTTACATTCAGCGCTTACAATTTGAAGTAAACAATGTCTTTGACACTGATGAGGGGAGAAACATCTGCTAAATAAAGTAGAATATTTTTTAACTTGGCAGATTCCGCAAAATTTGAAAATGTCATTAAAAATTTCCTCTCATAGATTTCGCCCAAAATGAAAGATAGTTTTCGCACGTTCTGGCTTTTGGTGACGTCAGTGGAAGGATTTGAATGGCAAATGTTTTTACATAAAAAAGTATTTAATGAGCTTTCAACCAAACTCATAGCTAATTGCGTCCGTATATTTGTGTCTAATTCAACTTTATCCTATTAAGTTTCCAATCCAGAGTACAGCTTTTAAATTTCAACTGCCAATCAACATGTCACTCTTTGTATTCCTCGAGAATTGAGGAACACATCTCGTTAGTTTAATAAGCACGTGTGTTTCGAATTTTTGCCACCCAAGAAGAGTTTATTGCTTCAAACCACCGGACTTCGAGATAACACCAAACTAAGTTGGCCTTGCTGTTTCTTCCTACGATCTGATGACGGTTTCTGTCGAAAACGTGTTCTCAATAGCCACGCACTTTAATTAAACATTGGAGTAAAAAGCACTGAAGATTATCTCTTAGCTCTCGTTAGCAGGTGGCCAGAAAAGAAATATTATGGACGATTGAAATTACGTGCTTATGCACTTTCCGCAAACTCCACCATGCAAAAACAAAAAAATTTCGTGAAAGCATATCATCTATTTTTAGCTATATCTGCCATGAACTTTGTAGTCAAATTTACTGAAAACTGTAGCACAATTTCATCGCTTTTCATCTACAAGAAAACCCATTACTGGTTATTTATAACCACAAACTGTTTTTATTTTCCCTTATGAGTTTCTTACAAGTATAAAGGCGCAAATTGTTTTTTTTGTTGTTGCACTTATTGATTTCAAAGCTGTATCAGTCTTATAGCTGATATCAGCTCTTTCAGGAGAATCTCAGATGAACTTGTTGCGACAAAACTTGCAGAAAACGGGCTTAGAGTTAACAAAACCATCAACCTGTTTTTATTTATCTTTGTTTCCCTAGTCATTGCGTGAACTATGCTATTTTAAGTAGGTTCTCGTTCACTCTTAGCCTTCATTTTTCCGTTTTACCATAATTGGGTTTATCGAAACGATCGGTAATCTATGAAGTTACTCTGTCGCTCAAAGCGGTTGAAAATTATTAATACAGTCTTCGACTTGAGAACTGCACTTGAAATTTCAGTTGCCATTTTGATGTAGCGACACATTTTTCAAAAAATTGCATCACACTAAAATACTATTAGCAAATCCAATACTAGCAATTGTATTATCATTTTCACTAGCTTGTAAGAGGGAAATTTCCACAATGCCGCCTTAGCTACGAACCTTTTTTTTCGAGGCGTAACAATTGAGCAAGGAGGAACCAAAATGTTGCCGTTCTTTTCGATTCATTTTCGAGTTGCCAGAATTTTGAACTGAATTTAAAAAGTTCTTTTGAACTCGTTGAGAAGTGAGAAGTCTTTACGTCATTTTTAATATCTCCCCAAATCATAATTGGTTTCCATTCTAAGAATCTTTAGTTCTTTTGCCAAATCTGGAACGTTCCATATATTTCAATCAAGCCACTGCAGGTCGGTCATACTGGGTCAGTAATAGGAAAATTGCTGTCAATATTTTTTAGCTTACAGTATAAATTCAAGTTTAAATAGACTAGCTTTTCTCTCGCTGGTCTTAACTAATCCAATCAGCTCATTGGCGACCGCTTTTCAGGCTTTTTCAGTTTTGGCCGGAGTTAATTCTTGTCATTTAGTTGTGTTAAGATCTCCCTTACATGTGTCTCACGTGTCTTTATTTTGGTTGTTCGCAAATACTATAGGCTGGGACAGGGTTATTGATAGGAAAATAAAGCATTTTATAGCGGTTATTTCAGGAAGGAAGGCAATTAGCGTACGATTGAAACACCCAGCAAGATCTCTTAGGCTGTTTTTGAAACGAAACACCCACGGCCGGGCTGACTGGTGAAATAGTTCAGAAAATTTTACGCGACAAAGCTTAAAGAGCCCAACTTTCTCGCTTTCCTTCAGTTTTTTCCTGAAATATCAATGCGGAGGTAGTCAAGTTGACAAAGAGCTAGTAGTGTTAAATTCACCTTTTAGTGACAAAAGCAATTTGGTAGCATTCGACATCGACTTCCCCAAGTCGCCCAATTTGTCAATATTTGGTTTAAAAAAAAAAAAACAGAACAATGAAGTGATGTGTCACTGTTTTAGCCAATGAGCCATCTCGTCAGCGAGGAACAAAGTTTACATAGCTACTCTGATGGATCATCCTAGTTATCGAATTTTGGTGTTTGTGGTTAGGTTTTTGCGGGGTATACACTCTGTAATGGTTTCCCAGTTGTTTTGGTAATCCCTCGATCGGCGTAAATTGGAAAATTAGCTATATAAAGATGAGAGAGTTGAAAATAAGCATCACTCCGTCATTCAGTGTGTCAATATCAATTCTTCCCCCTTTTTTCCAGTTTGTTTGTTTTTTCGGCTTTTCAATTATAATTTATTCCTAAAGTTATTGCAAACTAAAGGGAAGTTGTGCCATTGTTTTTATAATTGACGGGTCTTTCTACAGAAACACTTGCATAATAACGGAGCCTTTTCTTGCCCAATGGGACACGTTTAATGTAAATTAAAACGTATTAAATTGAAGAGGAGAAACTCCCTTGTATTAGAACTTTCCAGTTGATCATAAATGTTCGTATATCGCGAATATTTTCCTAATGTTTGGAAATATATTTTGTTCCTAAGATCATGCTTATTTCGCAATACTTGAAGTCCTTAGGCAGTTGACAGAAAACACAGCCAATCAGCTGCCTTTATTTTGCTACCTTCATAAAACATTCATCACTGGCATAATGCACAGGGATATTTGCCTTCCTTGAATTGTCATACAGGTGAATTCGTTCTGTGAAAACCATCTCGGTTCCATAATTTTTTCATCTTTGGATTCATTTATTCCGGTAAGGCCTATACTCATTGTATGTTACACCCGCGCATTTAAAGGATTTCGTTTTTTGTTTTTTTCAACAGATATTAATTTTACACCATAGAGTTTCCTCAGTTCAACACTTTTCCATGGTGTGTTTTCAGTGTTCCTTCTCGATCTATCGGATGCAAACTGTTAAAAATTCATTAATCATCGAAGTAATCGAAGGAATTACAAAATTGCCCTCAAATGCGAAAATTGAACATATCAATTTGCGAAATTCGAGATGGATTGGAAGAGGATTTCGTTTTACAAACCGTACTCGTTTCGTGTTTTCGAAATGTTCTCATAATCCGTAACTATAGAAACTTTAATTAGCGCGCTGATGATTGACATTCATGCTTTCCACTTGCGTAGAACGTACATGAAATATTTATCAGTGCTATCAGCGAACATTCGAAAACTGGCTCAGATCGATCTGCATTTAGGGCAAGTCGCGAGTGCCACAGCGTTCTCTTGTAAAGTTGCGCTGTAAAACAGCCTTCAATTGACAGGATTTTTGTCTCATTTTACATTAAAAAAAGGTAACAGACCTCAAACATGAGTGGAGGCTCGGCTAAACGCCGAACTCGAGGAGGCGGCTTGGGATCTCAGGCTAGCCTTGGCGATGAACTTGAAATGCATGAGAAGGGTAGCCGACCGCCATCTTCGCATTCGAGGAACGCTTGGTCCGACGATCTGTTAAGCGGCGGGCATGACGAGATCGATTTTTCTCCGCGAGCACCCGCTTCGGCCGCTGTGGATCTTCCTTCTGCCATGGAACAAGAACCGGTCAACCATCAAGCCCGTGTACCCGCGGATGTTCGAGCTCCGGGCACGAAAAACGTACCTGTTGGTTGCTGGACACGGTTTAAAAGGATCATTCGAGGTAAGAACTGTTTCCTCGAGTCACAAACTAGGTTAAATTTCCCACATGTATCATATATTTCGCCTAAGAAATCAGGTTGTAGAATGCGCACGATTTTCTTCTCGATCTTACCTAAAGCGCCGTAAGAAATGTAATGTCACGTAATTTGGATGATAATTCTCTATGGTTCAGTTCTCTTACATTTTTGCCTAGTGAGAGTTCAATTGTCTACGGTTTCTACGCTAGACTGGCTCGTTATTGTACAGCTTAATCCCCGAAGGAAGACAAGATGAAAAGAGGGAGCTGTAATTACGCGTTTGCAGAAATTTCGCTGCGTTGCTGTAATTAATCCATGGTAGATTTGAGAACGAACAGTGCTAATGCGGGTTTCACTAATGAGGGCTGTTCATTACACTTTGGCTGTTTTCCTCGATGTCTCTAGATCTGTTATTTCGGAGAAAGATGTGAAAGGATCTAACTTATTTGGCCGCACATTCGGTTTGCCAGAACGTTAAAAATTTAATGAACACTCGGGCAGGTGTTTTGTCTGCCAATAATATTCATGTCAACCTGAGTTATAATTTTCACCAAAGAACAAGTGAACTAAAGCCGAACTTCTCTTCGGCGTAAACGTTACTGTATTTTCCTCGATAGAACTTTCAGTTGTAATCCTCACGAATTATGCTTATGCGATCGACAATGTTCCAAACGAAACAGTGTGTGCTTGCGATGGCCATTGAGAACTCGTTGTATCAGATACCTTGCTGATAGGTTTTCCTATTTCTGCGGCAACTATCTTCGCAATTAATTATTTATTCCACTTAGATTTCAGTAAAATTGCTACACGACTGGGAAATTTTCTGACTGCTGTTTAGAACCCGTTTTATCCAATAAAAAGAGAATTTATTGTATAGGTCAATGTGTTTTGGGTATTATTCTCTCGAGTGTCGCATTATATTACTTGTATTGGTTTTGCATAGGAAGGCGAAGGCCGGAGCGACGTTCAATTTCTAGTATTAAATAACAGCCGTAGAAATGGCACTCGTTTTCCATTCCTAACAGGAGTTGATTGCAATTTGATTATTCCATCGGGGTTTGTAATTTTCACGGGGAAAATGCGGGGCTTATTCGCAGTTTGAAATTAAGAAAAATTCTAAAATAAACATCTGTTTGGGAACACAAACTGCGCTACACAATGGATGCACATCGGTCAGTATGTTTCCATCGCTACAGTCTATTAAGGAGTCAAGGCGGTTACCTTTCGTTCTGCAACCTCATTACTCCGAGGGGAAACCATTTGAAGGAGTATTTTAAACTGAAAGACTGTTTTCTGCAAGTTTCCTTTGTTTTCGAATCGATTATTCGATTATATTTTTTGAATTTATGTGCCTGGTCAAATTTCAATATGCGGCTTCGCTCCTTATTTCGAACAAGGCAACAATTTTTATTGTCATTTAAGAAATGAACTAGGAGGTTGAAAAGTAGTAAGAAAACATATCTGGAGTTATCTTGGAACCTTTCAAAGAGGAATAAGTGTTTTAATCATGTTGATTAAAAAAAAATGTTTATTTATTTTAGATGTTCTCCTATTTTGCATATTTGAAGATCCATAGCAGCTGTCTTTATTTTACTAGTATCTTAAAAAGTTAAACAGGTACAGCTAACGGTGGCCTATCGCTCTAACTGGCAGATTTAGCTTACACAATCTAATGTCCCATTTGGCTTTATCAAATTTACAAATTTTTCTAATAATTATTTTTGAGTGTCACACAAAACTGTTACACTGGGAGTTTGCTCGCTTTCATCTGGCATACTTTGCGGCCATTGGATTTTGTTAAAATAACCCTCTAAATCTCCTTAATGAAATTATCACCTTCAGCAAATAACTGCCATGAAGTTGCAAGTTTTTTTGATGTATTTTGTTCAAAAAACAACAACAACAACAAAAAACACTTGCAGAGAATTACAATATATTCAGTTGCAGAGTGCAAAGAAATAAAATGCATAAGGTATTTCACATACTTGAGTTGATATTTTTCTATAGTTTGAGTTACTTGAATATTTAAGTCTGAGTTGAAATCATCAAAAGAAAATTTTTGATATATTGTAAAAAAATTGATGTACCTTGGTAAAAAGAAAGAATGCAAACAAGAGCATTCAAACTTTTTGGATACTTTTATTGCGCACTTTCCTTGCCAAAACGCATTTTAAAATTATTTCATATGTGATAACAATTTATATCATTTCATTTTGTATTCATTTTTTCAAAACACATAAATTTCTATCAGAGATATTTTGTCTAAATTGAAAAGTTGTTATTCAATGGTCATCAGTCAACGTGTTGGCCATCGTTAAACTTTTAACTTTTCATGAATGGAACCTNGCTGGTTTTTTAGCTGGTGGCCGGCACTTAATGAGAACCCTGGTCATTAAATGTTTGACCTGGGCTATGATTAGCCAGCCATTGAGGAATTGTTTTGTTTTTGACTGGTAGGGTTTTGGAGAACACGACAGACAGAGGATACTGACTCAGATCCTGAGACTCATGTGAAGACCACCTTGCGGGAGCTGATAATCTACCTGGTCTTCATCACCATCCTCTGCATATGTGAGTAAAACTGGATATTGGGTTTTTGTAATGTCAGTCAGGTGACCTTAAGGTCATTCCCCAGTATTGCATTGCGCATCCCTACTGCACATAATTTCATGTGTGATTAGCGTGCGCATATTAAAAAATGGCGGCTTTTTCTTTATGGCTGGACCTCGCCATAGAGGTAAATCGTCATTTTCTCGCAAAGGAGTATGGTGACCTATCATTTTTTTCTGTTGTTTTGAATTGAGTACTAAATTTCCCTTTGTAAAATAAATATTGACCAATTCTCAGTGTAGAACAAAAAACAATCATCGGAAACGTCAATTTAGCAAGCAATCGTGACTACAATCATGGTGCTATTATAAGGATTTATATGGGTATAAACAAGATGCTGTTGGTCCTAAACGAGCATGGGGACCCCTCATTTTTATTTCAGAATTTAATTTCCTATAATATAAACAATTAATAGGCAAAGTTTCTCAAAAATCTCAGTGCAGGTTCTATTTCAGTGGAATGACCTTAACCCTTTAGCCCCTAAGGCGAACGGCAGTTTTTCCCAAATTGGCAAATAAAGACACTCTGCCTGTGTTCAATATGCCATTTGAAAGCCACTAATCAGCTTATTTAAGAATTGACATCAGCAACTATGAAGGAGGTAGACATTTTGAGAGAAATTGCTTTAAAATGGGAAAATAAATGACTTCAAAAATGTATCAATCTTCCACTATATTAGGTATACCCCTTAACTATAGCTTATTTAGCAGCTCTTAGAGCATAGCTTGAGATGAAACAAGTCTTGCATTCCATTTGCATCCTGAAAAAGGAACTAAAAACTTCTGGGGGTAGTCAACCATGTCTTGGATGGGAGGGGGTCAAAATTTTATGACTTCAATGAGTAGATCTTCACAAGACAATTTTCATGGCAAAAATTCATAGAAATCTATCAAATATTCACAAAGGTATGACCTTGTGTGCCAATTTGCACTCTTAGGGGGTAAAGGGTTAAATGCACTTCAGGACATGAGTGTATAATTTGGTGGTCAGAAATGTTAAGACCTTATATTAAACTTTCACATAAAAAATTGTGATTGGTTTATGGTCTTAGGCAAGACACAAAGTTTGTTACTTTTCCCTGCCAAGTGTGAACTATGTAACACTGTGATGTTTCTATGCACCAAACTACAACATTTCTCCATGACCCATGACAGGGGCAAATATTGAGCTTGGCAATCAATGTTTGTCCTGACATTAGGTACACAAGGCACAATGATAGTGATGATTCTCTCATAACTGTAGTGGAATCCAGTAGAAGATAAAGACCATCAGCCTACAAACTAAATGCATGAAACATTGCAGAATGACAAAGACTGAAAAATCTTCTTTTTTTTCAGTGACATTTGGAATGACAAACTCCACCATGTACTACTACACCAAAGTAATGAGAGGTAAGTAGGATGTTTACTCGCGAGCGGGGCAACTCCCATATGAAAAGGTTGGGGATACTCATTGAAAAATTGGTCGAATTTTAAACCCCTAAAGGAGACCAATCTGGGTGTGGTTCGGGCTTTATTTGACCCCTAAAAGACTAGCTGGTGTTCAGGAAAGGAACCCACGTGAGTAGACCAGACTCAAGAGCCCAGCAGAAATTGAGCCTAGAAATGGAAATAGGAGCGTATTTTTACTACTATTTCTTTGAGTGCACCCTGAGAGATACTTTGACAGCGAAAGTGGTGTTTTGTCACGATCTCCCTAAGTGAGACCAGAATCCTTGATTTATACCCCTGAACGAGACGTCAAGCATCCACAACCTTTTCATAGGGGAGTACCCCCGGGTGTTTACTCTGCCTAGCTGTGAGAAGTCTGGTTGTTTAACAGTAAGAGTGTGCATACTAGACTCTGAATTGAGCAGTGAGCTAGTCTGAGATCGAATCTTGACTGAGATCCTTACAAGGTTACAAGCAACTCAATGCTGGAGTAATCTTACTGAATTCTGTGATGGGCCTCTAAGATTGAACACAGACTAAATACATAACACAGCTTTCAGCTAGATTAGATCAAGGTAATTGAATTTAATTGTGCTTGTGTTAATACCTTTTGCAGATTTGTTTGTGGAGACAACAATGGAAAACAGAAACACTTTCAAGGATATAACCACAATGAAGGAGTTCTGGATGGTAAGCTAANCCCTTCGCAGCTTTAACTCAGGGGGAAGGATTCCAATGACTCAGATAAGAATTTGTGAAGTTGACCATGGACCAGAATACGGAGGGAGATGATTCAGTAAAGCTGGCCAAAGTGAACCAGAGTGGCCAGTAAACTGTGCAATGGAAGGCACATCTTGCCTGAACATGCTCTTGTACTGTACTGCTGAACACGTACTGTTGTCTCCTTTAGTTACCACTTAACAAGACTGACAGCCGACTCTTGGAAGTTAACTAAGTTAAATAACAATTAAATGTGCTCAATCCAAGTCTAATATTTGTTCCTGTTGTGTTTTTCCAGACTGGTGTTTGAATACCCAGCTACAGGCGGCTGTATTCCGTCCTTCACCTTCCGCACGGTCAAGCTGATTCGTTACGTCACCGCCTTCGACCACTTCGTCATGGCCTGCGAGGGCATCTTCATCCTTTTCATTATCTACTACACCATCGAAGAGATCCTGGAGATTAAGAAACACAAGCTGAAGTACTTCAAGAGTTTCTGGAATGTTCTCGACATTATTGTCATTTTCCTGGGCTATGTGGCGATAGCCTTCAACCTCTATCGTACCTTTGCGGTGGACCACTTGCTCAAGGGGCTTTTGGCAGACAACACGCAATACGCAAACTTCGACTCTCTGGGATTCTGGCAGACCCAGTTCAACAACATGGTGGCGGTGGCCGTATTTTTCGCCTGGATCAAGGTAAAACAACAACTCGTACGTTTATTCTGTCTATAAGGTGGTTTCTACTAGTGGTTGTAAAAATATTTGTTTCTTTTTCTACAATGAAGAGACATATATTAATTTTGTTTCCATCTAAATCAGATGCGACAAACTAAAAGTAAGTTTGCTCACGTGTCCGAAGTTTCCCGCGCTTTTTGTGGAGTAAATTTCCCGCGCTTGTTGTGAGTTAAAGTTCCCGCGCTTGTTGTGAGGTAAAGTTCCCGCGCTTTTTGTGAGGTAAATTTTCCGCGCTTGTAGCCGACTACATAGCCTCTTGTTAGGGTTGGACCATTCGACTTTTGAGGGGGGATGATTTTGAGAAAAAAAGCATCTTTCATTATTATGTGGCAAGGTGGTCTCGGGGTAAATTCGAGCGTCTTGATTGGTTTTTTCTTGGTCGGGATACAGAAATCGATCTTATGGAAAGTTTATCGCTTTGCTGTCGTTGCCATGTTATGGGTTTAACTCTATTTAATGTAGCTGTTTATCTTCTCCATAGGTGTTCAAGTACATCAGCTTCAACAAGACCATGACCCAGTTGTCAGCCACTCTCAACAATGTAGAGTAACATTTTTTCTTTTTTAAAAAAATAATTATCATTAAATTGTTATTATCATTTGGTAAATTGAACATCCAAGGTATTGATTAACTTTGGACTTTCATGTAGTTAACAGTCGCATATTAAGACAACTTTAAATGAACGTTGTCCATATGATTTAGGGCTAGCCTTACTGAAGAAAATTCCCCCTTGAGTGAACACAGGCAGACAGACTGTTTTGAGACTGCGAGCCCCGTGGGGGAGGGGGGGGGGACTCCCATATAAAAAGGACCGGGGGTGCTCGTCAGAAATTTTGAAAAGAATCCCTAAGAGGTACCAAGATCCTGTTTTTTGTGGGCGTGGCTTGAAATTTTTTTCACTCCTAAGAGGTACCAATTCTAAAACAACACATTATCTCCTCTCATATTTTTTTCGGCTCAATACCCTAAAAGTTTGTTTTCTTTCTCTTTCGTAGTGTGCCAAAGACGTTGGTGGTTTTGCAGTCATGTTCTTCATCATCTTTCTCGCCTACGCGCAGCTGGGTTACCTTGTGTTTGGCACTCAGGTGCGCGACTTCAGCACGTTCGAGGACGCCATGTAAGTATCAGACTTGGATGTGAAGGGTTTTACTAACATCCCCTCAAATACGGGCGTGGCCGTTCACGCGAGTGCAAGCAGAACTCGATTTCCACGCACGTACAGGCGCGCTCAAATCTGAACACTAAAAACCTGTACGAGTGTAATACTTGTGAGAAACCTTGCAAAGAATAGCCAACTAGGCTCTGGACGGCTTTGGTAATTCTCACTGTGTTATAGTTTCATGACTCGCTCTCGTCGCGCGGATCTCACTGATTCCACGCGCGTACTTATAGACCTCACGCGTGTAGACCACGCGCGCGTGTTTACTGAACCACGCAAAGCATTGCACATCGCAGGCATAAACGCCTTGCATTCAAGTCTAATTCATTTGTTTCGATTTTTTGGCGTTTCGATCTGATCTTGGAATTCATGTGCACTTTTTTTTTTTTAATTTTTCCTTGTAGCTTTACACTTTTCCGTATTATCCTGGGTGATTTCGACTTCCATGCTCTGGAGGCTGCCAACCGTGTCCTTGGTCCAATCTTCTTCATCACCTATGTCTTCTTCGTGTTCTTTGTCCTGCTTAATATGTTCTTGGCCATCATTAACGACACGTACGCTGAAGTCAAATCCAACATCGCCACCCAGAAGAGCGAGTTTGAGATTGGTGACTACTTCAAGAAGGTAGGTGAACTCCAGAGTGATCCACATTGTATTTCTTCCTACTAGCAATTGGCTGTCAGGTGCGGACAGGTAAAACGAATTAAGAAATTGATCAAGGAGGCCTTTCTTTTGATGTACCAGAAAGTTATCGATGTTAATTTTGAAAGAAACGTAATGCAAGTGGTTAGAGCACTTAATACTTTGAGACTTAAAGGAGCTTCATAATGGTTTGCACATCTTGTAAAGTTTAGCTTAAGGTGGCTGAACACAGTTGTTGATACCTGTATTTCATTCACCTATTTCTCTAAAACCCTTGATCTCTAGGTCGCCAAAAATGGCAGCAAGCAAGTTAACAACACAAACTTTGGTTTTTTGATGGTTAAGCTGACATATGTGCCGTTGCCATGGCAACATGAATAAA